AACAGGCCACAAAGATGGCAGTTTGTGCTAAACAAGGGATCGGGGAGGGTGTCACTTGCCACATCACAATTACGAAGTTTTGCAAAGCTGAACCGGCTGATTTTGGACAAGGATAGAAAAGTGGGGTTAGAGAGGAGAGGGGAAGGCTCCCCCAGACAGCCAGTATCCACCACCTCCCATTTCCCCTCAACTCAATCTTTTCCTCTATGCACATACACCTCCCACTCACTCCGTGCCTCAGATCCATCCAGAAGTTTAGAGAGAAGACACAACGTGTTTTATTTCACTACAGGGTAGAGACAACAGGACACAAGGAGCCTACCTAAATTTAATTCTCTGGGCCTAGGGGAGGAAAGATCTTATTTCAGCCCCTCCCAGATTTAAGAATACAATTTTCCTCCCAGATTTAATCCCTCCCTCCACCAGATTCTGCATTATTTGACATGAAACCTGCTAAAGCTACCTAGAATTTTAACCTACCTTTCCTCCATCACTTCTGAAAAGAACTAAAGCCTTATTCCCCCCCCCCTTTTTTTTTGCTGCCGCACTGACATGCATTCACACATGTACACCCCAAATTCCTGGCAAACAGGCAGTGATTGCAAGAATATCAGATCGAAGAAGTTATTCCGAGAAGAGTAGGCAATTGTCTTTCCTCCCAACTTTGCCTCTTGTTTTAGAAGAGGTGTGGAATGTACATTATTACCTTGTTCGTTGGTTTGTTTTCAAAAAGAGGCAGTTTCCGTACAGAGTATTTGTGGCAGGAAAACCAGCCTCCTCCTCCTTGTTCAGAGGATGAGGCCCAAGAGAGGAGAGGCCTGTGTGGATGCATGTCCCTACAGCGCCGCCTCCACCCTCAAAGCGGAGGGGTTCTTAACGTGTAGTGTTAATTACTTCAAAGAAGACACAGCACACAGCACAACTCCAGGAATGTTACAGAAGGTCACAGAGGGTACAGAGATTTATCCCCACGGCTTCAGGAGGAAGGGTTTGAGGTAAAGGGGAAAAGGCAGGTAAGAAATTCTTGACACCCAACATCACTGAGGACAGTCGAACATCACAGTGATCACGGGCTGCAAGGATTTCCCCAAGATCCCAGGCCAGGGCGAATGTTCAACACACTTCACCTCCAACAAGGGGTCCTGATGTTTTCAGGGCAATGAAGGAAAATTGGACAGAGAGGAATCTATAATCCAAGGCAGGGCATTAATCGACCTTTAGCATCCAGATGACAGATTGGGAGGGAAAGGGTGGGGGGAGCAGAAGGAGCGTTTAGGGGCACACCAAACTGGGGGAAGAGGAAAGGAACTTGAGGTTACAAAGAATTATTGGTCCGCGAAGATTTTAGTTAAAAATCAAGACATTGAAAAAACACTGTCAGAGAGAGGGAGAGAGAGAAAGGGGTTGGCAGAAGAAGGACGGGAGATTCCATGACACATGGAAAATCTAGTAATAAATCTACAAACAGACAAAATATAATATTATATTATATATATATATGTATAAATAACAAATCAGGCTATTTACAAGACACCCACACGCAATGCACACGCAATCACACACACACACAGGAGGGGGTGGGGAAAGGGAGGGTAGATCCATCCTCTTGGGTTGACTCTATGCTTCAGTAGCAGTTAGAATAAACAGGTTCTCAAAACAAATGGAAGAACAGAAGGATAAATGCAGGAAAACATTTGTTTGCAAGAATTGTAAATATCTAACATGAAAAGAGGAAAGCACCCTACAATTCTCTCCCTCTTTGTCCTCCCCATACTGCAGTAGATGACAGGGTAATGTTTGTTCTGATTCCACATTTCTTGATCGAAGGCATAGCTGATATGGAAAGAGAAGAGCACCTTAAATCTTTTCAGTTGTTTTTCTTCCCATAATGCAGGAGAAGACAGGACAATATTTGTTCAGATTCTACATTTCTTGACGAGAGGTAGGCATTTTCCTTAGGGTCTTGAAAAGCCAGAAGTATGTCGCTAGCAGTCCAGAATATATATAACCTGTTACTACTTCCATATTCTGGACTGCTAGTGACATACTTCTGGCTTTCCAAACTTCTAGGAAGAATCTGTAAACTTCATCAAGAAATTTAGAATCTGAAGAAATAGATATATGTGCTGGGGAGCAGTTCTTGAGCAATATTTTCACAACATCCAGATATTATGCTCTCTAACTGA